CATAATGATATCAAACCTGTTTTTGTATTTATCATATTTATCTAAATTGCTATATTGCACTCCATCATTATGAAGATAATAATAGACATTCTTTCCAAAGTTGCTAGTGAGTTCGATAGTTTTACAATCAGGACTTGTTTGTGTTGTATTCATCAGTGGATCAATTGATTTACTTAAATCAATACGTTTTATTTGCTCAAAATCACCTACATTAACTAATGTATCTGGTGAAATTTCATTATTAACCAGCTTATAAAAGAATTTTTTAAGCGTCATTTCATATAGAATCAGATGTATGTACCATCTATGTAATGTTTTACTCCTTTTCGATATGCATACATTTGCGAAAGTTATTTTTTAAAAAAGAACCAGATATAAAAATATTTGCTTAAAATTTTTTTTATTTCTTTTTATTTTTTATTTTACAAAAAGCTCCATGTGATTACGAATTTTAAACTTGCTTCTTGTAATTTATATTGCCATAACTATTAATAATATATGGCACGCACTTTTTAACTTTGAGTTATGCGTAAATGAATTTTACAGAATTTCTTGAGCGTAATGCTCAATTTAGAACAAAACTCGAATTTTTGTTATTTTCAAATGCTTGTAAATCTTTCTTTTGCTTTAAATTCTCACAGTCTACCACTACCAATTAAAAAAAAAACCTATTGGTGCATAAGTTTTAATTCATTGTATCATATTTTTCGAGTTGACTAAAAGTCAATAGATCGAAATGATAGTTAAGCAAGGATATGCCGAAAGTAATCCGGTCAAGTCTAGAAATATAGCCATCTACCCTAATCAAGGGTATGTATTTAATTAATTTCTTATTTGGATCATGATGTAATTGCTGCATAATAGCGGTAGTTCATTGTTAGGATTGAATAGAGATGTACCTTGCAATTGATGATAATTTCATCCTCGAGCAAATTATTACACTATACCTTTCACAAGGGAGATCCTTAGTATAAAAAACTTAGCATTAGTAATTTATGGATGTTACTGAAACTAATGAATTCGCTAGATTCAAAATTCCACTTTAGATGATGTTACCTTGCACCTCGCACAAGTTCATATAATTTGTGGAATATATGCTAGTTTTACCTTGCACAAGGTACATCTCTAGGATTGAATATACGTACGTACGTACGTAAAAGATCACTATAAACAAATTTTCACTAGGGTGTCCAAAATTTTGAGGTATTTTGTATATCAGTATCGGTATGGTATGAGTGAGCAGATCAGTATGGTACAGGCTGAATTTTAGAATCTGTACTGATCTGGTGTTATATATATATTAGCGTTAGGGTATGAATTATAACTGATCAGTATTGTGTAGTTTTTTAATTTCAGCCTGAACATACTGATTGCTATAATCCCAGAATTTTGCAATTTTTATGTTATTTTCTGCATATAATTGCTGCAGTTGATTTGATCAGAATTACTAATATTGTTTGGCGGCTTTGACAGATAATCATCAAGTATTATTTCGGGACTACATTTCAAATTCTACAAATCTGCAAATTAAGAATCCAATTGAATTGTTATTTAATTGCGGGCTCTGGAAACTTCGCATTGTAGAATTTGCAGAATTTTTGCAATTGCAGAATTCTTAACACCCTAATTTTAACTCAAATTTTCTAAACCTCAAAAATTTTTCATTTGGTTGCAACTTAACACTTCATATCAAAGTCACCCTGCTTTATGCGGTTTTGGATACCATCAACTAGCACTACGTATACATCTCAATGACAGTGATAACTGATGCAATTATAATTGCTATTCTGGGAAGTATATTTGTCTCAGTTTATAAATCAATAGTATTGACGTATACTGCATGTTCTTGATACGTAAAAAGTCATTAAATATCTAGCTAGCACTAGCATTTTATTTGCTAAATATATATATCCCAAGTAATAATATATTGTATGTATGCAATACTGATATTTTTTAAAGTGCATTATGATCACATGTGATAAAATTTATTCTCAATTTTATAGTACAGTATATTCACTAATTAATACAATCTAATTAGAAACCAAATTTTGTTAAACTAGTTTTTTAATTGAGTGAAATACAGTTTGTATGTATATATTTGTTGCTAATTAACTTATATAGAAACTAGGGTAGTATTTAGTACATAGTACAGATTAGCAGTTTATACATACGTAACAAAATTATCAGTTGAGATCTTGAAAAAAATTGATCAATTCTAGTCTAGTGATCAAGATTCTAATACTTTCAACTTGGAATTTTGGAATCTTCATGAATAAGTTGTAGCAAATTATAAAAAACTTTTTTATAGATTGCCGAGTCATGTTTTTTTAAAATAGTAATTTTAATTTTTTAATTTAAAAAATTTTTAATCTTAAAAAATAAAATTCCAGGTTGGCAGGTTAAAAAATTTTTTTGATGTTATGAGAAACATAAAATTAATTTTATATGGCCTAATGTTTTTAAATTAAACATCTTATAAAATTTTAAAAAATAATAAATAAATTATTTAAATCTATATATTATTGAATTTTAATAAAAAATAATTAAAAAATAAAAAAGTTTTATTAGTAATATATTTTAATTTACTATATAAAAATCTATTATACCATCTAGGTCATATGAAAAATGATCTATATACATCCTACTCTTAAATTTTAACTTTTGTAATATTTTTTTTTGTTTTCACTAAGGTTATTAGTTATTAGCAGCTATTGCCTTTATTGTAATTTAATTATAATTATATAATTTGTATAAGATGAATGTGCAACTAATCATATATACAGCTTTTAGCTATTTATTAAAGTAGTCTGCTTATAGGTTCTATACTAGCTGCTATATCTGTAATCTGCTAGGATATTATCTTATTAAACATTCTGATCATTATATTATATCTAATAAATAACCACACAAGTTCCTGTACATTTAAATGCCATCTAACCTAACTTTGATCTCTTTGTTTATATGTTTGTCAAACTGTTACATATTTCAGAATATGTTATCTAATTGTAAGACTATAGAGGGCCTTTCTGCTAACTATTTACATTTAATTTTTGTTAACAAGGCTTATTTTTGTAAAGTTTACTCAGATCTCAGTATCTACTTTATAGCATATCTCTAGTACTTATAATATACCTTTGCTTTTGGCATTAGACTTTCAATTCAGATAGTCTGAAAGAATTATAACCTGTCTTTAGTATACTAAGATTATGTTATCTAATATTCTTTTTCTTCTAGTTTGAGATTTCTGTCAATCTGATTGGTAGTACCTCTTATCTGAGATTCTTATTTACCTAATTTTTCTATATTGATATCTGTTTTCTAGATTTAGACTTTACAATAATATTATTAAAATTCTATATTATTTTTTTACTTGGATTTTCTTAAATGGGCTTTGGTATTTCTATTCTACAGATTTATACAGTTACAAGAACTTATTTTGGATTTGTAATATTTATTATTGATTTATATTCTTTCATATAACCAGTTATATAAATGCTCTATGATCTGTTAATCATATTGGTATAACTATAGTTACAAATATTTTATCTTAACTGATTGTTAGAATGCTGTTACTATAATATTGTCTATATATTACATAGATAATTATTTAAATTTTTTGCTGTCAATAGGTTTTAAACTTTCAAGCTATCACTTGAAAGATTAACAACTTATCCATTTTACTAAGTTATTATATTTCAACTTTTGAGATACTTTTAATAGCCTCTTTTAGTATAATGTTATTTTTTCATCTAGCTTTAGTATATTATAATCAGATTTTATATATTATTATAATATGAAGTCAGATCATTGTTTTTCTTTTTTCTGAACTTTTAATATTTAAAACTATTAAAATATTCTTTATAGTTATAGGTGCTTTTCTTTTAATTTAGTTTAAAGAAAGATATTCTTTTTTTAAAAAGATTTGCTTACTTAACAATCTATAGCAAAATGGTTAAAAGTTTGTTTCTGTTTAGTACAGTTTAAACAGTTTTTGTTAATTTTTTTATTAAGGTATATAAGACAGTATTCTAGTAGTAAAATACATATTATTTAGAAGTTTTCAAAAGATATCTTTTTCTTTGTTAAAAAACTTCTTACATTTGAGCCAGCTAGTAGTCTTTTTAAAATCTTGTAAACCTGACAATATCTGTGTGATGATAAGTTTTATTAAACTTTGTTTTAAAAACTCTGTAACTTTTTGTACTATAAATTAATCTTCAGAATTGCTAGACTTTTAGCTATATAATATTCTATAGCCAATTGCTAATTACTAAAATAGCTTCTTTAATTTTTTTTCAAGCTGTAAGGTAAAACTTTCAATAGTTTGATTATTTTTTAAATCTTATTGGCATTTTAATAAGAACTAATACTATAATAAGTTTTTTCTTAGTCTAAAGACTAAATAAAATTAATTTTTTTTTAATTTTAGTCTATAAACTATTTGCTAAAAGCAATTTGATCTAGATTGAAGTAAGTTTATATTTGATTAAATTTTGATCTTTTAATGAAATCTTGTATTTAAATTTTGACCTGATATAAAATTTATTTTGACATGCAACATACACATTATTATCATTACCAAAATTACAAACTTATCAAATTGCCAAATAATCATTTTTTACCTAATGTTCCAAAATTTGAGAACAGGTGTAAAAATTTTTTGCCAGTCTGGCCCGACTCACACTTAGTTTTAAAAGTTTTTTGCCAGCCCAACCTGCATATACAAGGAAGTAACAAAAATATTTCCACACCTAAGGACTTAGCTTATAACTTAAAAACTTACTAATTAACTTATGTTTTTGATTTGACTATAGTAATCCTTACTCTTTGAGGATTATTTTATATTATTTTTAGATCACATGCTTATATAATTAGCAAGTTATTTAACTTTACTTTTAGGGTTTTGATAAATTCTGTAAGTGACTATGTTTCTAAGTAAATATTTTAACAACTATTAGTTTAATTTTAATGAAATTTTACTAACTTATAGAGAAACCTATTCTCTACCTACTGTAAAAATTTAATCAAATTTTAATCAGTAATTAGCTAAGAAATTAAAAAAAACAAAAATTTTATAGGTCAAATTTCTAAGCTAATTTTTTCAATAATTATTAATCTAAAATTACAATTTTTATTTTATATAATAGATATGCACTTTCTCTACAATATAAAAAAAATTTGACTAAATCTAATAACTAGTTGCAAAGATAAATCAAATAATCTACTATAATATATCAAATTTTATTTATCATCATATATCTCAATTATTTTGGCAA